CCCCCAACCCCCCTCCGGCCACCTTAAACCGAAGTCTCCCTCGGAGGGTAAACGAGTAGCGTCCAATTTAGTCTGAGTGATATCCAAATGCAGACAGAAAGGGTCGTTTTATCATGCTACTATTTGTCGTGACGATGCGATTTTTCCAAAGCAGAGCGGTGTCATAAAGTGACATGCCTGCCACAAGTGCTCCAACTGATCTGTTCAATTAGCCTCCCATGCATGATCCGAGGCGACTTCCGCCCATTCCCAGAAATTAAGCTCAAACTTGACGTGCGGCCAGCTTTATTTTAAAGACAAATGTCAGGCAGGCTCATCATATTTTCCCCCTCTTCTATATTTGGAGCTTATTTATTGCTAAGGAGCCTCTGCTCCCGGAGTCAATGTAGCGGGCGGCAGCGCAGGGGAAGGCGGCAGCGGACAGACACACAGAGAGCAGCTCAGGCACTCCGGGGAGTCAGGCTCTTCCCTTTTGGCTTCAGGTTTGCAGGCTTCTTTCTCTGCTTCACAAAAAAAGATGGCCATGCAACATTTTCAGGAGACTTTTGCGAAAYGCAATCATTTTTTTTAGACAATAAGCAGTTATGAAAAGATCTACTTTTGCAGCTGATACCCCGATGATTACTGGTGCGTTTGTGCGTCTTTGTTGCGCGTTTTTGAAGGCATTTTCCACAGCAAGGATTTAATGTCACTTTATACAAAGGGGGATGCCTTTTAGTGAAAAGCTACTTTTGACGCGCTCTTTTGTGCACGGATGGTAGTTTTCTGTGTGAGGTGAGGTGGTCTTGGTGATGGGGATGGAAAGCGGTGCCAGGGCTTTGACACCAAAGTGTGCCGGTTTGATGAAAGGTTAGTTTGCAATTTTCTCGGCGCAGTAAATCCAGTTTGTCAAATGAGTTCCTAACAATATGTGAAGATGCTCGTGCRGGCTTAGTTTGTGTGTCTTTTTAAATCCATGTCGTGCATGCTGCTAGAGGAGCGCGCAGTGTTTGTCTTCAGAAGATGCTGCTCGACAAGATTTAATCCTCCAAGCACCAGAGCTTCATGTTGCATCTTTAACTCGTTTTTCTTTTTTTTTTTTTATTCCTGAACGCTTTAACTCATCCTGCTCACCATTACAGGCTATAGGAAAATCATTTTATTTAGAAAAAATACACTTATTTATATATACTTTTTCTGTCTCTGCTGCTGGGCTGTGGTGTGATGACTCCGGTGCGTTTTTTTTTGTTTGTTTTTTTTGTCTGCACGCAGGTCACAGTGGCGTGAACCAGCTCGGCGGTGTGTTCGTTAACGGCAGACCGCTGCCGGACTCCACCAGGCAGAAAATAGTTGAACTTGCTCACAGTGGTGCTCGACCCTGCGACATTTCCAGGATACTGCAGGTGACAGCTACATTTATATATTGTCTTTTTTTCCTTAAAAATTAAAACAGAATCCAATTTTTTTCCCAGACATTTTTTTTGCAGACGTGGAGCAATAATAAAAGGGATTCAACCCTTTAATTTCTACTGTCCTTCTATCAGAAATGTTCGAGTTTCTAATTGTTTTTGAGGCTGCACAAATATTGATTATAAACTTTACTGTAGCCACTGTAAACTGGCAAAGAGAGGGCAAGTAATCTGCCTGCTATTATAGGAGAAAAATGCCTAATAAACAATTGAAGGCATATTTTCTGTGTTTATAGACCCATGATGAAGTCCAAGTGCTGGACAGTGAAAAGGTGAAACTTATTTGAGCCATCTTAGAAATTCCGCCAATAGTCATAAATAATGTATGTGATTTGTGTCTTTTGTTTTCCGCCCAGGTGTCCAACGGCTGCGTGAGCAAGATCCTGGGTAGATATTATGAGACCGGCTCCATCAGACCGAGAGCGATAGGCGGCAGCAAGCCGAGGGTCGCCACTCCGGAGGTGGTCGCCAAAATCGCGCAGTACAAGCGGGAGTGTCCGTCCATCTTCGCCTGGGAGATCCGAGACCGGCTCCTGTCGGAGGGGATCTGCACCAACGACAACATCCCCAGCGTAAGTGCGCGGGGCGTGATTGAATTTGCCACATGAGGTGACTTTCCTTTTCTCATGCAGTGGAGGAAAAGGAGAAGGGCATCCAAGCATTCACGGTCTTATTAAACGCGCTGAACAGAGCGAGGGGGGCGGGGAGGGCGCAGGCACCCGCACCTCATTTTTATTGGGATGCTCAAACCTTAACGATTTTTAGTTACGATTTGAACGCGGGTCTCTGCAGAACACCCCCCAAGATTTATATTTTCTCATCATATGCAATTTGTCATTCAGGTGTCATCAATAAACAGAGTCCTCCGCAACCTGGCGAGTGAAAAGCAACAGATGGGCGCAGATGGCATGTATGACAAGCTGAGAATGCTCAACGGTCAGACAGGAACCTGGGGGACCCGGCCCGGCTGGTACCCCGGAACATCGGTGCCAGGACAGCCCAACCAAGGTGAGCCTCATTATCATACGGAGGCGACGGAGACACCTTTACGCACGAGGGTTTTGTTTAAATGATCCAA